ATGCGTTCTCTTGGGGCCGTCCTGGGGGTCTTCTGGGCCATCTTGGGACGGTCTCTCGCCTTCTTGGAGGGCCTTTTGGGCCGTCTTGGGGTTAATTATCTTGGAGGCCCATCGGGCCGTCTTGGGCTCTCAGAAGCCCGACAAGGCGAGAGCGCCAAGTCTCTGGGGTACACGAGGGATCGCCGGAACGGGTTGCTGCGCCGCCCTCGAGAAGGGCCATTCGAGTAAGCGCAAACATGGGTTAACGTTCGTGGGTTGCAGACGGGTCCCGTTCTTATACAACGTCGACGCGTTCCGTTGCCACATCAGGCGGCATTCGCATCATGTATCGGGGGGTACTTTCCCCGATCCGTGGATCTGGGTCCCACTGGTCATTTCCAGTCATCCCTCATCCATGTTAGCGCGTGCCCGAGCCATGGGCCCATTCACGCCCAAACAAGGGCCCGCCGTGCCGGGGTTGGCATCGGCGGGCCGTCTCCTTCTGTGGAAGTTGTGTTTCGAGTCCAGAGTTTCTCCCACCACTTTCCACTCCGTTTTCGGGTATGGTGGGCCTCCCTCACGCCATGCACGGCACGTTCTTCTTGCAGTAGGCTTAAGTGTTCGAGATTGCACCGACGGGTAGACATTGTAGGCTCGGCTGCTTGTTGGACCAGCTGACCGCACCAAAGCGAATTAGAGACCGAGGCTGCTGAAGACATTGGGCCTGTGGACAGCGCCGCATCGCAGAGTGCGAAGTATATGCGTGCTGAGAGTTCCGTATCAAATTTGGTTGACGTCTCGTTCGAGCTAGGCTCGACAGCGCCACCCTGTCCCTGCGGCTGGAACGTCTGCCGCCTCAGACGATAAAGCTCGAACAGCATCGGACGTTGCGGGGCAACATCGAGGAGACGGACGGATTGTTGGCACGCTCGCCTTACCGTACGATCGAGCAGGTCATCCCCGAACTCAAGGCTCTTGGCTACGCCGGGATCGAGATTCCGTAGAAGTGCGCGCATTATTTGGGGATAGAACGAATAAAGGCGTTCCTGGCTCCGAATTTGATGAAATCTACAGTCATGGTGTTCACGGATGGGATGGTTGTGCCAGGCGCTGAGATTTTTTGGGAAGGCCCGTATCCAGGCTTCACCGCGCCCTCCCAATTTGGAGAGAGCGACACGGATAAGTTGGTGGCGACGCACCTAGCTGCGTGAAAGGAGCAGGTGGTGGCGGCGCAGGCGTTGAATCCGACCCTCGTCGTGTCGCATTCGTTTAAGGATTATTTCACGCACGCCATGGCGGAGCAGTTCACTGAGGCCCTACGGTGGGAAGCGGAGAAGAACTATGTGGTCTGCCATGAGACGCACCGGAAGCGTTTTTGTTGCACAGCCCATGGGTTGCGCGGGATTTCCTGCCCAAGTCCCTCGCAACGAAGATCTGCGCCGACCTCTCCCATTGGGTCAACGTGGCGGCGACGAATTGTGACGACTTGGACCTCACGCAGGTCATCGAGGACGTTGCCCCGCAGGTTTGGCACACACACTGCCGCGTCGGCTACGACCACGGGCCGCAGGTCCCGGACCCTCGCGCCCCGGAGTGGCTGCCCTACACGGAGGGCCATGAGCGCTGGTGGACGCCATTTGGAAAGCGCAGGCCGCTCGCGGGCAGGCCGTGTCTACGATGATCGCGGAGCACGGGCCGCCGAATTACCAGGCCACGCTCCCACACAGCCGCGAGCCCGTGGCGCACATCTGGGACGTGAACCACTGGATCCAGCTGCGCCGTCAGGAGCGCTTCAAGGTCCTGTTCCCAGGCGCCGAGCACCAGACCTCGAGCCTTGTTCCCAGCGGCACCCATGGGGCCACTCCTGTTGACAGCGCCTGGAGATTCAATCCTCGCTTGCCGCACAGCGCCAGCTGGGTTCCTTAATGATGAGGGGAAGCCGATCTCCGGACGCAAGAGGAAGGCTGGCAATTAGTGGATGTTTGCATATTCGGCACCGTAGGTCGAATCGGCATGTATCGCGTGATAGGGATCAATTCGCAATCGTTCATATGCTGATCGATATGTATATGACGACGATTCTGCAGCACTCGATGGCAAGGCTGATTCTGCGTGCGCCTCAGGATTCTCTCGGTCACTTCGGCTCACGAGTGGTCTGGGGCAGACGTCCCTCCGCATGCCACTGTGACACCTGGGCCCCCCTCAGGAAGATCTCCTATGGACCCGGGGATCTTCGTGTGTCGAGACCTCATGCGCCCCAGGCTCCCGACGTCATGATCTGTTCATAACATCGGCCCCCACTGGTCCCGACCCATTCCCACGGACTGGTTTTGCATCCCGAGTCGTTTCTTGACGGTCGAGAAAAATTCGTTGTGACTTTGTTAGTGATTCGAGGGGGTCTGGGGTCGACTGCATCAGACAGCGAGCGGCTGCTTCCGCAGACACCGGCAGCAGTCAGGGAGGGGAAACAAGACACGGACACAAAGTAATGTGTAGCTCCATGAGAATATGGGAGAAAATGCGGGAAGCGGAGTAGAAGACGAATATATTCAGAAAGTCAGTGAAAAATATTGGGAATCTTGGGATTTGTGTCTACACATTTGTGTGCCTCGGGGCCCCTTCAAGCAGGGGCCTGTCCGAGCCGCTGAGACGAGGCCCGGCATGCCTCGGCCGCATTTCCCGCAGCGCCCAGGGCCGGCCTCTCCCCCCCTCCATCTCGGGCACGGCGGGGCGGGCCGCTGTCGCTGGAGTGCCTTGGGAGGGCTCTGCACGGCCCAGGGGTTGAGACCCTGGGCCGTGCAGAGCCCTCCCGAGGCATGCAGCAGTTGCACGGACGGAGGCAGGTTGCTTCTCGAGATGTGGGTCTGCCTTCAGGTTTCCTCCAAGTCTACGACCCGACATTCCAACTTGCAGAACGCCTGCACGGATGAAGGACGGCTCCTTGTGAAAGCCGGGATCTTGCTTGCGGTTTTCACAAGTCTTCTGACCAGCACTTGACCATCATCGTCGGGCAGGGTAGGTTGGTTCTCCAGGCGTCACCTCTCTAGGTGGGGATTGGCGCTCCGAAGCCCGAAGGAGACGCTACCCATCCCCACCTAGGGGGGGTAGATTGCCCAGCGGGGCCAAGGTTTCCCCGGTGGGGATGGGGATTGTTTTCCTCGTCCAGATCTGGCTGTGCAACCCTGACACGGATGGAGGGCTCAGGGGGCGGGATTCCTGGCGGTCGGCCCCTGGGATGAAGGACGCTGCATGGATGGACGGATCGGATGGAGGCGGCCATTCTTCTCAAAATCGGGCGCTCGCTTGAGACCTTCGCAAGTCTTATGGCCAGCACTTGCATTTGTGCAGCCCTGACACGGATGGAGGGCCCGGGGAGCGGGACTCCGGGCGGTCGGCCCCGAGACGAAGGCCCGGGGCAGGAGAGGCGGGGCGCGCAGCCCTCCCCCGCCCCGCGCGCGGCCGGCCGGGGGTGCGGGCCGCGGGGCGACGCTTGGCGGGTGTGACCCAGAGCCCCCTCGAGTCGTGAAGAAATCACGGCGGCTGAGTTTCCACTCTCCTCTGCCTCGGGGGGCCCGGCGCCGTCCAAAAAGCGACTCGGGATGAAAAACTAGTCCCGGGGAACGGGCCGAGACCTCTGGGGGTCTTTGGGAAATGTCACGACGTCGAGGGTCTGCCTCGGGAGGGCTCGCGCCTTGGCGCGTGCAATCGTGAAGCTCACGGGAACGGCTTGCGAATTTTCAACCGCCGCTAGCCATTTGGCAGCCGAGAGGCCCTGGAGATAAGCATCGTCTAACCGATTCGGCGATCGAAGCTCGTTCCACATCCCTGCTGTTGCCCCGCACTCGTCGGCGCCAGGGGATGCATGGCTCCAGAGGCCAGATTTTTGCCCATGCTGCCACTTTGGCCCCCCCTCGGGTTTGGGCGTGAGCAGTGGCATGGATAAAGCGTCGATCGCCTATCGATCCCCATCCCCACTGGGCCATGGTTCCTCTCAGCCCCACGTGGGGATGGGCCCCGCGAAGCCCACAGGTAATAGCATACATCCCCACCCAGTAGGGTAAGTTGGCCAGTGGGGATGGGGATTGGTTAAACAAGGCTCAGAGGATTCCCCGCCCGATCAGAGGCCCGCTGTGTGACGTCCACGCCGCCGCACGCGTCGAGCCGGCGGCCCACAGCTTCCAGCTTACCGGGCTAGCCCCTTGTGGGCACCGGCAGCGCCATGGTGATTCAGATGCGCGCGCGCGAGGGGCAAGCCTGCTTGCACCCCAGACACCCTCGAGTTATGAAAAGAATGCGACCGACAGTTTTTTCGCTATGTTTTAAATATCTGGGGGCCCTGGCCGGGTCTCGGCACCGGCAAAGCACGACTCGGTATGAAAAACCGGTCCAGGGGAATGGGTCCAGACCTTTGGGGGTCGACGTTGTCAAAAAATCGTGCTGTCGGGGGTTTGGCATGCTGCACGGCGCCGGACGTTGGGATGGCGTTCGGCCCCATCTCCCCCGCTCTCCTGGTACAGCATCTAGACAGGTCAGAATACTCACGGAGACCCCTCTCTCGAGCCTCGAGCACAGCAGAGCGCCCTGACCTCCTCCCGTGCGCGCCCGCCAGTGTTCCCCGTCCGACCCTTCTTTTGTTGTCACCGGGCCCCTGCCTTCTTTGCCTCCTGGGCGGCCCTCATTTCGGCCCTGCCTCCCGGGCGGCCCGATGATGATCCCGGCCTTGGCTGCCTTGGCACGCCCGTGATGAAACGCAGCACGTATTGTGTTCAATTTTTTGTGTTAACACTGTTGACACGTTGCGTGTTGGCTCGCCACGTGTTGGTCCAACTGTTGGCGAACGTATCGCGCCAGTCCTACGTGTTCAGTCCACGTTTTGAGCTTCGTGTCAACACGCTACACGTTGTGCGTTACGTATCGAGGCGACTACGATCCTGGCAGGTGAAGTAGCATGGCAGGCCAAGCATTCGGGCGATGATTGTGCGCACCGACCCACCCCCCAAAGCAGAGACCGCAGCAAGCAGGCGTGGAGGACTTCGACTCTGGCGCGGACAGCGGGACAGCGGACGTTGACGACCTGTGCCTCGATGGGATCGCCATGGAGCGGCGCGGGGCGTCCCGCGGCTCGGGGGTCATAGCTTGAATGTCTCTCCATCTCCAGAGGCCACTTGTCGCTGATCTTAGCCAGTGCGTGAAGATCTGATCTTGCCTGTCTGGATGCTCTATGCCAGAGCCTGGCTTGGTTGGGTGATAGCCCATGGGCCACTGGGCCATGGGCCAGCCAAGAGTGGGCGCGTGGAAGGGGCGCCCACCAAGGGAGGAGAAAAAGCGACGCATCTGCGTCTCCTGAAGGAATCCCATTAGACAGGCTTGCAGCCGACAGAAAGGTTTGGGGTGGGATGGGGTGTACACTAGCTCCGTATGTCCTCCAACGGGGGCCACAGACAGTGGTGGATCGTTTGTAGCTATCTAGATGGCGATTGTTTGCAGCTCCGTGCAATGACGAGTTGCGCCCATTTGTCGAACATATTGTGCCATGGCGCTATTCGCACGCTATCCGCAGCGAAGTCATTACCCGCCATCCACTCTAGCGACCCTTTTGCAAACAGCTTTGCACGTACTTCATGTACGAGACGAACACGATGTACGGCTTCTTAGTGTGAGCCGTTTCGCAGATGGGCTGCATAACCCCAACCTCCAAAGTCGTTGGCTCTAATATCTGAGGATACCCCATGTAGTTGCAATGCTTTCAGTCGGACGCATGGTCCGAGTCCTGGGTGTGCTGCCGATCGAGCCCCATGGGTGTTGGAGGGCACAGTGTGGTGGCCACTCATGCGCCGCTTGCCCTTGGGGCTTGCTGGCCCGAGCTTGTGGCTAGTGGTTGGTAATATTGGTGATCGCCGCTGGTGGCTGGTGGTGCTGGCTTTATGTGTACGGTAGGTTCTCGCCGCGCTGGCGCGGTCGCGATGTTGGTGTGGGCGCTCAAGGTGGGAGGTCTCCTGCGGTCTGGGCCAGGTCGACCTTTAACGATATCCGCCGTCGCATAGCGGACATCGTTCAGGATTCACGATCTGCTCGGTGTCGGGAACCAACGAGCACATCAACCCAATAGGGAAATATCCATAGAGTGTTACCGCATCAGTGCTTGATCCCACCCTCGCCTGTTGACGCGTCGGTGTTTAACACAGCGGGCAGCAATGTTAGATGCCGCGGTCGGGGATGCCGAGAACAGTCTGCATTGGCATGACGACCTATTTCTCAGACGACATGGTGTTTGAAAGCTACTCGAGAAGTCGTCCTATGCGCGGCAACATAATTTACCGATTCGTGTCATGTTGTACTGTCAGTCTTCGAGATCCTTATAGCGGTGCTAGCATTGTTGATGCCAGAGTGCACACGCATGTTTCAAATAATACGGCCAGGGACTGCGTCATGCGCGTTTAACCCGAAGGGTTGGATTTTCAAACAGTGATTGCACGGGGTGAGTTTTCTAGTTCTCAGATGAATTGCCCCTTCTCGTTGGGAGTTTTATGCTGACGATTGGTGTCCCAGCTTGTCTCCGCCCAGCGTGTTGTTCTCGCTTGCTTGGAGTTGTTCGTCGGCATCTCGTGCCCCATGCTGGCCTCGCCTCACCCGCGTAATCTTTCGTTCGCTGGGGGTTGTCTCGGCTGTCTCCGCCTCGTCCGCGGCCGCGATTGTTGGGGAGGTTCTTCGCCGATGTTGGTCTTTGCTGTTGAGGGGGTTGTTCGCCGACTGTTGTCCCTAGGCTTTTCCCGCCTCCCATGCTGTCCCTGGGCGTTGGAGATTTTATCGGCCGACCTGGTGTCGCCTGATGTTTGTCTGTTAGGGGTCCACGCGCATGTCTCATCTTCCACGGAAGCGTAACGGGGGTTGCCGACCTTCGCGTCCCAAAGCCTCGCACGGCTCCCGTGCACCCCTGGATGTTCTGCATGTCGTGTTCGATGGGAATGTCATGCGTCCTTCTTGCAGGAGGACAGCCTCGACCAGTTCATGCGCCTTGCTGCGCAGGGCCTCCGGTGAGCGACTGAATGTGTGCTCATGTGCGTGGCATCGTTAGCGGGTCTCTGATCGGTAGCCAGATTGACTCCCTTGCAACCAGCTTGAACATATCCAGTTTAGGACCCTGCCTCCCAATGTGATCCTTGACAAGTACTGGATGTCTGGAAAAGTGTTGGAGATGAGGTGGGTAAGGCTTAGGGTTCGGGTTGGCTTCTCACCTTCTGCATCCCCTCACTGCTGTTCTCGTCCGTAGTGCCTCTTGACGCATCAAGGTAATCTTGCCACAGCAGTGAGGCAGTTTGCCCTCTGGTCTGTTTTAGCGAGGGGCGGCTGTGTCTGTCTGTTTGCGCTGCTTTAGCTGGGTACGGCTGCGTTCCCAAACCTCTTGTACGTACTGTTTCGGTCTCTCCTTGAGGCGCAATGTTTCACAGTGACGTGCGGCAGCCAACGCCGACTACGTGTTTTTCGGCTAGCCATGGGTAACCCATGCGCTGCGTCCATAGTGTTGAAGTGTGTCGAGGCCCAGGGAGCCGGGACATCAATTCAGTATGTTGATTGTCTAGCCCGAACTGGATGGGTCGAAGGCGCGTGTTTTACGGGCGGAGTCGAGGGTACAATTGTCAAGGTTCATTTGGGGAGATTTGTTTGTGTGCATTAACTTGGACAATCACGGATTCGTGACTCCCCAGCCTTTAGGGCACGAGCGCGGTCAATGATTTGCAAGTATGTCTTGAATTTGTTGACATACCCTCCAAGCGGGAACGCTGTCAATGTGCACTTAGTGGCGAGCAGGTTCTAAAGTTGCTGCCTGTCCTCCGAGACAGTGGCGCGCGTGCTTGCTAATGGGCCTCAGCCGATGTTAGGGATTGCTGTTGAGAGGCGTAGACATCGGTTTATGAACCAACAGCAACAATACGAAGCACTGCTAGATGGCGTCCATTTCGACGCTCACGCGCCTGAAGACAAATGGACGTGACATTGGATAGAGGGGAGCATTAAATGTTCCGCCAAGCCGACTTCTCCCATCAACCTTTCTTTCTCACGGCTAAGGGAGGGGTGGAGGAGGGGTAAAGTTGACGGACCCGGCCGGAGCGTGCAATGGCCTTGGTGCTCCAATTCAGTTGCGCAGACACACTATTTTCTTCATCCGTGTAATGTATATTGTCATGCAAAACGGATTGTCATCAGAGCGAGGGGCCCCAACGGTATTCCATTGTTTTTGGGTGCGTGTCTGAAATGATCTTCCGCGGCGCCTGCTCTGCTTAGGTGTCGTGTTTTGTTGAACATGTGTGTGTGTGCCCATTGTGTTTTGTTCAATTGAGTTTCTCCCCCAGGGGTCGCACCGTGTTTTGTGCGAAGGAAGTGTTTGAGGTTCAGACGGCACCTCTTGGCCCCCGAACAACAACAACCATAACAACAACAAACACAAGCACAACAACAAGCACTTCAATACTGATCGCTCTGATCTGCTCGCGTGTCATTCACCACGTTTTTCCCAAACCCTCTATACGCTCCCTCTTCGTTTTCAGTCGTGCTCCCCTGGGGATATATCTTCCTTGCCTGCAACGTGTATTTCGTGCAGCCCCTGAGGCAGAGGAAGAGAGGACGGATGGAAGGAAGGGACAAGGGGAAATGAGGATGATGGAGCACGGGAGGAAGTAGCAGAAGGGAGGTTAGGAGTAGAAAGCAAGTGGTATAACCAGACGGGCAGATCGGGCGGAGAAGCCCTTACGTGCGGGTCGGGAAGGCGGGCCCAGGCGGCCAGGTCGAGCAAGCGGGTTACTGAAGCGTGCGTTCTGCATGAATCGCGAAGACGTCTCGAGCGACATTGCGACCTGCAACGGGCCACGAAGTGCACCGAGGGGGCCACGACGGAACGGGGCCACGAAGGGTAGCGAGGGGGCCACGAAGGTTTGCAACGGGGCCACGCAGGGCAGAGAGGGGGCCACGAAGGGCTGCAACGGGGCCACGAAGGGCAGCGACGTGGGGGCCACGAAGCGTTGCAACGGGTCACGAAGGGCAGCGATGGGACCACGAAGGGCTGCAACGGGGCCGCGGAGGGCAGCGAGGGGGCCACGAAGGGCTCCAACGGGGGCACGAAGTGCAACAAGGGGGCCACGAAGCGCTGCAGCGGGGCCGCGCAGGGCAATGAGGGGACCACGAAAGGCAGCGAGGGGGCCACGAAGAGCTGCACAAGAGACACGAAGGGCAGCGAGGGGGCCACGAAGGGCTCCAACGGAGGCACGAAGGGCAACAAGGGGGCCACGAAACGCTGCAGCGGGGCCGCGCAGGGCAATGAGAGGACCACGAAGGGCAGCGAAGGGGCCACGAAGGGTTGCACCGGAGACACGAAGGGCAGCGAGGGGGCCACGAAGGGCTCCAACGGGGGCACGAGGGGCAACAAGGGGGCTACGAAGCGCTGCAGCGGGGCCGCGCAGGGCAATGAGGGGACCACGAAGTGCAGCGAGGGGGCCACGAAGGGCTGCAACGGGGCCACGAAGGGCTCCAACGGGGCCACGAAGGGTTGCAACGGGGCCACGAAGGGCAGCGAGGGGGCCACGAAAGGCTGCACGGGGGCCTCGAAGGGCAGCGAGGGGGCCACGAAGCGCTGCAACGGGGCCACGAAGGGCTGCAACGGGGCCACGAAGGGTAGCGAGACCTCGACTCCTGAGTAATAATTTGTGAGGGACTCCTGGGCGTGAGAGCGATTCCTGGGTGCCTGAGTGTCGGGGGCGCGGCGCTTGAGTAAATTGCGGGGAATTCCAACGCAAGGGTTCGATTCTTCAATACATTGGAATCAAGTCTCCAGCGAGATCGCGATTCCAGAGCGCCGAGAAAACGATTCTTATGTAAAGTGCAAGGAAGTCCCAAGCGATAGCGCGATTCCATAGCTAAAAGAGCTCTCAGGCGGGAGCGGGGGTATTGGCTAAACTGCGGGAGAGTCTCAGGCGGGAGCCGTTGTTGTTGTAACCCGGGGGCCAGCGGCACAGATTGACTTTTGTGATTTTCCATGATTAAAACAGGGTGCGAACCCAGGGAAAGTACTTCAATTGAAAAAACACAGCTGTCACCGGAAGGGGGATATCAACAATAACTCTTCCTCCGTAGCGAGAGTTCAACAACAACACCAACAACAATGATCATAACATTGAAAACAACATTAACAACGCCAGAAGCACCAACAACAAGATATACCGCTTGATACTTCCTCCGAATGTGCGCGCCCGCGCCGGATTTTCTCACACCATATCCAGGAATCGCGCTCGCGAGTTGTTTTTTTTGCAGTTTATGGAGACGCCGCGCCAACGACGCCCAGGAATCACAGTTTCTCTGTGGGCTTCACAATTTCTTCTTGGGAATCGCGTTATCGCTCGAGACGTCCTTGCGATCCATGCAGGGCTGATGCTTCAGCGACCCGCCCGCTCGACCCGGCCGTCTGGGCCCCCCCGCCTCACGTGCCCCTTTAGGGCCCGCCTGCCCTACACGCCGGTCTGGTTTTGCTGTTTGTTGTCATGCTCCTAACACCCTCTCTTGGTGCTCTCTCTCTCGTGTTCCATCATTCTCCCCGTCCTTGCCCTTTCCCTCCTTCCTCTCTTGCCCTGTTTAGGGGCTGCGCAAACCACACGTGGCAGGTAGGGAACACGTACGCCCAGCACGTGCGGCAGGGCGTTCGATTGATTTCGACATGCGCGCGCCAGAGGTCCGTCTGGTCGCATTTGATGAATATGTTGGTGAGTTGACTTTCTGCAACAGAAAGAAAAGACAATCAGCAAGAGCGCGCGCGCAGACTTGTTGGAAACAACACGTTGCAAAACCACAGGTGTTGTATAGGTTTTTGGGGTGCTCCGTTTTTGCACAACTTATGAAGCCGAAGGGTTTGTTTGTCTATCCCAGCATGCTCGCGCGACGACGCGTGCGGGTCGATGGTGTTCCATGTGTTATTCAGGCCCCCTATAAATTTATGATTTGTGAAAAATGAGCACGCGCATGTTTTAACTCGGCGGGGCTGTTGGGGGGGTCGGTGAGGGGTTGGGTTGGGATGGTGTGGATTTGGGCCGATTTCTTACATCGTGAAGCGAGAAGGGAACGAACAGGTGGCCGCACCGTGATTCTCCGCAGCCGACCCGCTCAAGCTCCGAGGTCCCACAGGGTTCCCTGCCAGAGCCCGCGGATGGCCCTGAGTGTCTTCGCGGTGCAGGAGGCGATCCGGGGCTTCGCCGCGGGCGCGGCGGCGTGGGGCGCGGCTTCGGGCTCGCAGTGCCCGGTTTGCTCCGCTCCGCCCCCTTGCCCGCCGTGCGCTTGCCAGTGCGAGCCGCGGCTGGTGTGCCCTGGCGGCTCCTTCGCTGAGATGTGGCCCGTCGGCACGGTTTGGGTCGGCTTCGCCTGGCTGGCCAGCCTGGCCGTTTCCAGGGTGGGTGCGTGGGCCTACGCGGGGAGCCAGGCCCCTGCGGCGGGAGCCCAGACGCAGTCAGCGGCGGCCGCGCCGAGGGTGGCCCTGCTGCCCGCCGAGGCGCCGACCTCGCTGTCAGAGGTCGCGGTCACACAGGCTGCAGCGCTGCACGCCAGGTAGGCCGAGCTGACGTACTAGCAGGATGGCGGCGGCAACGGCCCACCCACTGGCGGCACACGGTTTGCAGGAGGGCGAGTTCATCTTGTCAGAGTATGTGGGCCGAGCGGATGTGATGCATGAGCGGCTCATTGTCCTCGCGCCCAGCGGCACGACGTTGGTGTGCACCCTCACCCCCGAAGGCGACAGCTACGAGGAAGACATCTTCGCAGTTGCGGATGTCAGACGATGGCTGCTGTGCGAGGGCGGCCGCATGGGTGCCGGTGGCGGGCATGCTCATCCACGGGTTTCGCGGAGTGCCAGCGCCCGCGTGGGTCGCGCAGGTGCTCGGCGCGGTGGCGGCTCGCATGGGTTTGCCGCTGGCGCCTGGCCTGGTCGTGGTGCCCAGCATCGTCGGCTTCGGCTTCGCGCTCAGGCCCTGAGGCGGTGCCGCGCCGGCTGCGCCTGCTGAGGCGCCGCTGCAGCGGTCGCGCCAGCCGCTGCCCCAGCGCAGCGGCCTCGCCCGGCATGCTGGTGGCGGCCCCCGCGGCTCCCCCAGCGGTGGCCCAGCCTGGCGGTTCTGGCGCTCCCCGCGGCGGGCGCTGCTGGGGCTGGGGCAGTGCCCGCTCCCCTGGCGCTGATTGGGCCAGCCGCCCCTGCAGCGGCGGCTGCGGCGGGCGCGGGCGCGGCGGCTGCGGCGGCTCCCGTGGACACGAGGATCCAGCCCGTGAGCTGCGACTTGTAGGGGCGGAGGCACGCCGACTTCCGCGCTGCGGTCATGAACATGACCGAGGGAACTTTCCGTGACTGGCCCGCGATAAGCCCCAGGACGGCGCTGTGGGTTTTGAGGTTCCCGAAGGCCGATCACGGGGGTACGCCTGTAGGCCGGCACTCCAGGTTGGGCTTTCGGAAACACGCTTGTAGGGCCGCGGGCCCGGCGCAGATGAGCACGAGCGGGCCCGCCGCCCTTTGGAGCGCATGGTCATGGACTCCACGAACATGGACGCGCACGTCTTGCTGGGCACGGATCAGCTGCGCGGCAACGCGCGCGTGGCCCCGGCGCTGGAGGCAAGGATGAGCTCGCGAAGATGCCGCATGCCGCGAGGAGCAGCGGAAAGCTGGAGAGGAGCGCGACTTGGCCCGCAAGAGCAAGAATGGGCCCAAGGGCGGCAAGGGCTCCGGCGAGAATGACGAGCGACCTCGGAGCGGGGGATGGAGATTGGCGCCCGTCTCCGCCAACTTGCCAATCGGCCTGCGTTGCTTCCACGGCGGCGGGTCCAGCCCCTTCTTCTTGCCCAGCGAGTGCCGGGAAGCGCCGGCGGGGCCTTTTTCCGGTACCCTATCTGGTCGGCCACGGCGAAGCTCAACTTTTCCGGCGCAGCGGCCGTGCTCGGCGACGACGCAACACTGTCGATGGCGTGACTGGGCAAGTTGCGTTATTGATTTAATCTTGTGCTTCTGGGATGCAGCCGCCCGCCGTCAGAGTTGCCGAAGGCCGGCGGGCGTCGAATGAGCACATCCAGTCCGCGTTTATCATCTTCGAGCGTGATGAATGTGATGCATTTCCACATGGAGCTCTTAGCGATTTCCTCCCAGGACCGCCCACGTGCAGCCCGGGGCTGGCCGCGCCGGCCCTACTCGCGGGGCCTGATCTCGTGGCCCGACGTCGGCGACGACCCCGTGCTTCTCGCGGATGCAGTTGCTGGCCCGGGCGCTCAGCGGCTTCGGGCTGGGAGCTCAGCGCAAGCGTGCTGCGCGACCGCGGGGAGGCTGGCGCCCTCTCGCAACAGGCATGCCCACGCGGGCACTACGTTGACCCGCGCTTCTTTTTCTCGCTGGCGAGCTACGCCGATTGCCTCGCTGAGATGTCCAAGCGCAAAATGATCTGCTTCCAGGCGGAGGGCCCCAGCATCAAGCCTGTTGGTGTCTTCTGCGTGTCAAGTGAGAGCGACCGCCTGAGACTGGTTTTGGACATTCGCGCGGCCAATGCCCACTTCGCGGACCCGCCCGCCGCGGCGCTGCCCAGCGCCGCGGCCTTCGCCAACTTGGCGGCGCAGGGTGGCCGGGCGGTCGTCGCCGCGGGGGGCGTCGACGACGCCTTCGTCCGATTGGGGGCGCCGGCCGGCTTCTGCAGCTACTTCAGGCCGCCGCCGATCGTCAAACGGCACCTGGAGGCTCGCGGCGCCCTGGGCCCCCCCGCGGCCGGCCGCCCGCGGGCGCGTTTCATCGCCCTGCCCGCGGGCTTCTCGCGGGCGCACCGCAGCCGGGCGCATGGGCAACTATGCTTCGCCGTCGGCGCGGGCGAGGCCGCCGCCGACCAGGCGCTCGACCGCGTCGCGTCTGCGCTCGAGAGCGCCAGGCTGCGGGCGCGCGTCCGGAGCGGGCCGCCGAGCTGCAGTTCCCTGGGCGCGGGGCTGCGGCGCGGGCGCCGGCTCGCCGGCAAGGGCAGGCAGGCGCGGAGGCTCCGGCACGCCGTCGCGCAGGGCCGCGCTTCAGGACATTTCGTCCGCGCGCCGGTCGGCCATCTGACCTGGGCGGGCGCAGTCGGGTTCGAGGCGCTGGGGCTGCTGGCGCTACCTGCGCCTTCGCGGTCGCGTCGGGCACGGCGGCGCAGGCCCCGCGGCCGGTCGCGCGCGCCGCGACGCGGCGGGCCCGCTGCCTGCCGCCTCTCTCGGCGGCCGACCTGATCGGCGCCCTGGGCCCCGCGACCGGTCGCCAGCGACGCAGGCGAGGGGGGGGTCGGCGCGCGTCGCCGGCAGGCGCCCCGCGATCTCATCGCCCGCTGCGGTCGACAGCGCGAGCGCTGGCGCCGCCGCGTGGGCGGTGAACCTCGAGCGAGAGACAGAGCCCCACCCCCCTTTAACCGACTCCAGTCTTCCTTCGTCGCCTTCAGGGCCGCATGCGTCATCGAATGGCGCAGGTCCAAGCGCAGCCAGCATGGTTAGCAACGGGGGCTTCTAGGAGGCAGGGGCCGCGACGGCTTCGCCGCGCACGCGGGCGCCCGCCATGCTACCCCGTCCAGGACGTCGAGGGTTCGCCGGGGCCAGGGCCGCCAGGGCTCGCTGAAGGCCATCGGGGAGCCCCTCGAGTCGGCCTCGCTGGGGCACGCCCTGCCCGTGGACCAGCGCAAGAGAGTCAAGGACTTCGACGAGGTCCCAGCCGGGTTGCTCGACGCCAAGTCTCGAGGCCTTCGCGGTCGCCTGCAAGCGCCTCTCGAGGTCTTCTGCGCGTCGGGGTAAACGTGTCTTGGCTCTCGTCGATAACGTCCACCTGTGCCTGGCCGCGGCAAAAGGGCGAGCGGCTCGCCCGCGGCCAATTTGGCCCGCCCAGCACGGCGGCGCGGCGGCGGCCCGCCGCGCAGGCCGGGCGGCTCGCCCGGCGCAGCATGGCGGGCGCCGCTGGCCGCCCGATTGCTGGGCGAGAGGCCGCCGTCGGGGCAGCTGAGCGCGCTGGAGACGCTGGCGGTGAGGACCATCGCCGAGGCGCAGGGCCGCGGGATCCCGCAGGAGTTCGTGTCGTTCTGCTCCCTGCATCACCTGGGCTGGGAGGACTCCGGCCAGCTGGGCGCGGCGGCGACCAGGTCCCTGAACTTTCGGGCGGCGGGCGCATCCAGCCATGGTTCGTTGCGGCTGGCTTTGCTAGGCCACTTCTCGCTAGGCCTCCAGTGCTCGTGGAAGGAAGGCCAAGTTGCGCGCGCCGCGCGGAGCTCAGTGGCGCGGCAGGGGCGCGTGCCGGCGATGACCAGGGCACTGCTGCCCGACTTCGCGGCCTCGGCACTGGCCGGCTTGCAGGCGATCGGCGGGTGGCGGCGCATGGCGGCGTGGATTCTGCTTGCGTCAGGCTGCGATTCGAGGCCCTTCGGCCCTTCGAGGTTCAAGGACTCCGCCTCCGCGGGATCTTCGCAAGCGGCGGCCTCGGCGGGCAGCTGGGCTCTGTTCCTCCGCGCGACGTGCGGGGGGCGACCCAGCAAGACAGGCCTGTGCAACGGGGGCGTGTTGATCGACCTCGACCATCGCCGCTGGCCGCTGCTCGCCGGCCCGAAAGACGCGGCGGGCCTCGGCCAGAACTTTCGGGATTTCACCCTGGCCGCGATGCGCTAGCTGTTTAAAGCGTTCGCCGACCTGCTGCAGCGGGGCACCCCCGGCCCGGCGCCGCGCGCCCTGCGCCGCGGCGGCGCGAGCGGGGGCTTCTTAGGGGGCCGCCGGGCGCTGGGGCAGACCCAGCGGCGCGGGCGCTGGGCATCGCCAGCCAGCGCGACGCGGCACGCGAAGGAGGCCCACCTCCAGGAAGCCATGGCCAGAGCTTCCGACTGGGTCTTCGCGTTCGGTCAAAGCGCGCGCGCCAACCTGCGCCTAATTGTCGAGTTGGGGCCTGGCGCGGTGCTTCGCCGCGGCCGCCGCCGCTGGCGCCCGCGCAGGCGCTGACCAACTCAGGGCTGCCACGGCGTCGCCCGCGCAGGTCCGTCGTCATCCGAGCAGAAGTCCTACTCTCCAGCTGAAAGCTGCTCGACTTAGACGGTTTGGAATATGATTGGAATTATTTGGCGGTTCAGGGAAGGTCGCCGCGGCTCTCGGGGCCTCGTTTTTGCCGCCCCCCCCCCGACGTCCTGCGCGGCCCTCTGGGGGGTCATCTTGATGGCGCGCTTGAGGCAATCATGTTGGAATGGCTCAAAAGTGGCCTTGTCGCGGGCGTCTTTCTCGGTGCCCGGCGCGCCGCGTGGGCCAGGGCCCTCGGCGGGCAGCTCCGGGGTGCGTCTGCGCCAAAGAGGGTGGATCTGATCTACATGATAGTGAGCTGGCCCGTCTCAAGATTGGCACCGCCACGTTTCATTTTCTTTGTCGCGCGATTGTTCTGCGCCGCGCGTTGGGTGCTCCTGTCCCCCTTGAGAACCCTCAGCATGTCTCGCGTGCCAGTGCGGCGCCAGGTGGCACGGAACCCCTTGTCAGCAGGGGTGGAATATTTGCTCGTTGTCTCCACTCTCGTGCAATGCAAAGGTAGGAATGGAATCTGCTCCCGAACCGAGCTGCCACACATTGAATTATCAGGCTTTGCTCCCGGGGGGCGCAAGTGGGCCAGTCTTGCGGCCGCGTGCCCTTCTCCCTTCGCCATCGCTGCGGCCGCCGTCGTCGTCTTCTCAACCGAGCAGGCGCAAGGTCTCATATTCGCCGAGGTGGTAGTTCCTTTTCAGGGAACAGTCTAGCCAGGGTGACTGGCCTAACCGCCGTTCTTCCTTTTCCTGGGGAGCCTTGGTGGGGCTCCGGCTTGGACCCGCGGTCCTCATGAGGACCTTTTGAGCGCGCGTGCAGGACAATGTCTGGCCACCTAGGAGTGTCCTTATTTGCTGGGGGATCTCACATCGCGAAGCGACGAAGGAGCGAGCAGGTGGCCGCAACGTGGTTTCCCGCGGCCGATCCGCTCATGTTCCGGCCCGCCCTCCCGCCTGTCTCCTTTCTCGATGCAAGCGGGCGTTGTGCAGAGTTCTGGTGAATGTCTCATCCCTCGCCCGATCAGCCGGCGAGGGGCCCGCGGTCCTCATGGGCGCGTCTTGAGCGCGCGCACAGGATAATATCTGGCCGCCGAGGAGTGTCTGCACTTGCTATTCAGACCGACGGGGGATCGATCAACCAAGAGAGGGGGACACATCCAAGAGTTAAGGAGAAACATATACGTTGTGAGGTCTATAGTTTGCAATTATCTGGTAAGGCTACGTAGTGCAATCAACCACTTGTTCAACTTGAAGCTGTCCTTTCCACTGCTCGTGCAAACATCCCACCCTCCCAGCCGCAACTTGGTAGCATGACCTCTTAAGACCGTGACGGTGGCTTCCAGATGGCATTTGGCAACGACACCGACGCCGACGACGCCAGCGACGACGACGACGCCGCCGACAACGACTACGACGACACCAACGACGTCTCCAACGACTTCGACGACGACGCGACGACGAAGACGACGACGACGTCGCCAACGAGGACGACGACGACGAAGGAGGAGGGTGGACGACGACGGCGACGACGACAAAGACGAGGGAGGAGGGATGACGGCGACGACGACGACGACGACGACGACGACGGCGAAATAGGAGGGACAACGACAAAACGCCGACGAGGACGACGAGGGAGGAAGGACGACCACGGCGACAACGACGACGGAAACGACGACGACGCCAAGACGACGACGACGAGGAAAGACAGATGACGACGAAAACGACGACGACGACGAGGGAGGAGGGAGGACGGCGACGACGACGACGACAATGACGCAAGAGCGCGCGCCCACGTTTTTGTTGAAAATCCGTGTTGCGAAACCTTGTGTTTTTGCATTTTTTTGGACACGATTTTGAAATCCTTCCGAAACCGAAGGTTTTGAAGGATTCTGGCATGCGCTCGCGATGACGCGCGCGTCTGCACTTCGTTTTTTTACATAGGGTTCTCGGCGCGGAAGGGCGTTCGAAAGACTTCGACATGCGCGCGCGAAGCCCGCTTGGCAATATTAAAATATTGAAAACCTTGTGGTTTCTTAATGTTTCGCAAGAGCGCGCGCGTAAGCTTTTTTAGAATACCAATTTTGCGAAACCATGTGTTTTTTTGTATTCTTTTTGGAAACTCGAATTTGAGATCCTTCCGAAGCCGAAGGTTCTTGAAGGATTTCGGCATGCGCGCGCGACGACGCGCGCGCGTGCACTTCGTCCCGTTTTGCCAGGGATTCTTGAACATTTATGATTTGGGATAAACGAGAGTGCGCGCATAGTATCTGTTGCAGAGGATGGCGGGGGGAATGATACCGGCCTGACTGAGATAGTATGGTTCATATTTAGGATGGACGAGTGTGCAGAACCGTATGTAACTTGCAATACGAAAAGGTGTACCGTTAAGTCCGGGGGCGGGGGGGTAGTGTCTATTCTTTTGCAGAAAGGAGAATCTATACGGGCGGCGACGAGGCGGCGACGTGGCGGCGACGGCGACGAAATGGCCGCCAGACCAACGGACAAACCCAGACGACGGGCGGTGCCGATGCGGCGACGGGGCAACGACGGAGCGGCAATGGCGACGACATAGCAGCCAGACCGACAGGAGGCCCAGAAAACGGGCGGCGACGAGGTGGCCAGCGACAGGGCGGGGCCGACAGGAAGGTCCAGTTCCTGGGGAAACAAATTGGAATCCCTGAGTGCAAGCACGGCTTGTGAACTTGCAAAAAAAAAAAAAAAACACAGCGAGCCCCGCGGCAGAAAGGAAGGAAATGTAGGGGGGGGAGAGCGGGAACAAAAGCGGGGAGAGGAAACCGCGGGCAATTCAAATGGATTTGCCGCCACCTTAACTCCGTCTGGCGGCCCGGGAGGCGCCGCCAGCCGCTTGCGGACAAGCTGGATGGGGGTCCGCGAGATGCCAGTAGAAGAGCACAGAGAGGCCTCCGAGGTGATCAAGCAGCCCCCCCGCAGACGACTGGGCTCGCAGCCGATTTGTCTCTCAATCCCCGGCTTTTCCTAGAAACGTGAAACCGCTCAGAAAAGGAGGGGAACTCTGGGATACACCCCAAAGGGACTATTTGGGCGCAGTCGAAACCCCCCAAAGCTTGGGAGAGGGGTCGACATATCGCAAGTTATGGGTTCCGTAGTGTTCTGCAAGCCTCATTTGGGCTCTCTCCCGACAAGACTGGGCACGGTGATATCACACCGCTGGCTGCAAGCACCGTGCCTCGACCTCCCCAGAAGCCCGACAATCCAGGGCTCCCAAATGGGGTCCGAGAGCCGCAGGGTAGCGCCGCATCGCCGATGCATCCGATGCATCGCCGACGCCGCCGATGCATCGGGGATGCATCGACGATGTAGTGCGATCCTCCGGTCTCATCAATCTAATGTGGGAGGCCTCTATACAAAGCAACGAACGGTAGGTGTCGCGTTCCACAAACAGTCGAGACGGCGCAGAGGAGGTCTCCAAGCGACGCCCTGTATAGAGGATCTGCCTCAAACTGGAGAGATGTGATTGCGTGTTCGCTTCTCCGGCCTTTCGGGCGCACGATGCCTGCAAAAGACTCTTCGGTGGGGCCCCAGAGGGCCCCGAGAGGCTACAAAGAAGATCCAGAACGTCATTGCACAGGGAGGCTTGAAAACACTCAGCCTGACGAAGGACCCAACCATATGCAGTTGCGAGTGCCGCATTACCGCTGTCGGTGGAGCTCCCTATGGGGCCACGAAGCGTGCGAGGGGTGCGCCGAAATCGGTGGCGGTGACGCATGCGGACCCTGCCACTGGAGCCCTCGGTGGAGCTCCCTATGGGGCCACGAAGCGCTGTCCCAGGTGGCGGTGACGCATGCGGACCTGCCACTGGAGCCTTCGGTGGAGCTCCCCATGGGGCCACGAAACGCTGTCCTGGGTGGCGGTGACGCATGCAGACCCTGCCACTGGACCCTTCGCTGGAGCTCCCTATGGGGCCACGAAACGCTGTCCTGGGTGGCGGTGGCGCATGCGGACCCTGCCACTGGAGCCTTCGGTGGAGCTCCCTATGGGGCCACGAAACGCTGTCCTGGGTTGCGGTGGCGCATGCGGACCCTGCCACTGGAGCCTTCGGTGGAGCTCCCTATGGGGCCACGAACCGCCGTCCTCGGTGGCGGTGGCGCATGCGGACCCCGCCCCTGGAGCCTTCGGTGGAGCTCCCTATGGGGCCACGAAACGTTGTCCTGGGTGGCGGTGACGCATGTGGACCCTGCCACTGGAGCCTTCGGTGGAGCTCCTTATAGGGGCCACGAAGCGCAAAATTGGGTGGCTGGAACGCAGGGAGGTGATGAGGCGGATGGGGGGAGGGAGGAGGAGGGGGAGGAGGAGGAGAGGAGAGGAGAGGAGAGGAGGATAGGAGACGCGGGGCGCTGTCTCTTCAAAACGAGGACCCAACTCCACAGGATGGTTGCGAATTTAACAATGCCTCCGAGACGGCCACACTCGGACCCTGAGGCCCCGAACAACGCCCAAGAGGGCTCCACGGGGGCTCAGCCCACGGTAGCCTAAGAACGCGCTGCAGAAACCGAAGAAGGGGGAGGGAGGAGAGAGGGGATAACCACGATGAGGACTGAGGAGGAGGAGGAGGAGGAGGAGGAGGAGGAGAAC